ATAAACTAATTTAATTAGTATTAACATCTAAATTTATCATCATCCATTTAATGATAATATTTTATAAATTAATATTTTAATTATCCTTTTGTTAACCATTCTTATTTCAATATAAAATTAATCACTATATATTTAATGATTTTTTAAATTATTATCTTAATTATCTTATATGTTAAAATGATTATTTTAATAATTAAATCAAAGCAATTTATAAATTTATGAAGCTAAATAAACTAAATTAGACATTAAATTTGTTTAAGAATTTTATAATAAATATGAAATATTACATTTATAAATATTTGTAATAGATCTATTTTTTCATATTTAGGTAATAAAAATTTAATTATAAACTAATTTAATTAGTATTATTAACATCTAAATTTATCATCATCCATTTAATGTTAAGATTTTATAAATTAATATCTTAATTATTTTGTTAAACATTCTTATTTTCTTTTGGCCATGCAATAAATTTTATAATAATATTTAATGTAGGAAATTCTTATTTCCCAAATCAAATAATCTAAAACTTTAATATGAATCAAAATTCACTAAAATTTATATTATCTATATAATATTATATTCTTGTTTCTTTTCCCAATAAAATTTTTTAAAAACATCTCTACATTTGGGGATAATTTATAAATTTTATGAGCATTTAAAAAATATTTTATAAGTGACTCTATAAACTTTGGAGTATAGTTTAAAATATTTTATATTATTTATGTACAACAATCAAGCTTTAATTTATTCTATTATACATAAAATTCTGATATGATAATTATAAGATCTGATGATTTTACATAAATTTTACTGACTAACCTATTGCACTTTTGGCCATGCTATAAATTTTATAATAATATTTAATTTATTAAATAGATGTTCAACACAGTGGTATAATTGATATTTCTGAATCAGAAAGCTTTGGAGAACAAAGTGAATGTTCATTCACATCAAATTTTTTACAGTCTGGAGGAGGATAGAAAAATGCAGATATATGGAAACATTATATTTACCAAGCATCGACAGAAACTGCTAGATGTAAGATTTGTCGAGTCGAAATTAAATGTAAAAAAAACTACTTCAGCTTTAATTAATCATAACAAACGATTCCATCAAAAGTCCTATAATAATAAATTTATTGAGTCATATTTTATTAATGATTCAAATAATAATCATATGTACAACAATAATGATATCAAATATCATTTATTAAAATTTTTGATCAAATCTAATATCCCATTTAAAATCCTTGCAACAAATGAATTTAAATGTTTTGTTAATGCATTAAATCCTAACATTAAAATATGTTCAATTCCTACAATGAAGCAATATATAAATGAATCTTTTAATAATGAATTCAAAAATATTAAATTAATGATAAACAATTCAAAAACTCAAATAAATTTTACAATAGATATTTGGTCAAGTCCAACAAATGTCCCATTATTAGGGTTAACCTGCCATTACATTGATGATGAATGGGTACTAAAATCTATATTATTAGACATTGTTCCATTTACAAATTCCCATTCTGGGGAAAGCATATATAAAACATTTTATAGAATCATTAATAATTATAACATAGATATAAAGTCAACAGCTATTACATGTCACAATGCCACATCAAACATTAACTTTATAAATACCCTCAAATTAAAAATCCCAGATCAAAAATTGCACATATTCGTTGTTTTGCACATGTTTTAAATCTTGTTATTCAAGAAAAAATAAAACAAATAGATGAGCAATTAATGAAATTAAGATACATTATAAGAAGCATCCGAAATTTTTTAAGAAAATTGCTATGATGAAAGAATTTTGTAATTCTCAAAATCCATCTATTAAATATTTAAAGTTAAAATTAGATACACCTATCAGGTGGAATAGCTCATATTTTATGATAGAAAGAGCAATAACAATGAGAAAAGCCATTGATCATGTTATTATTAATAGTTATGATGCATCTATTATTGAAGAGAAACAACTAAGTGAAGTATTTATCTATATTAAATGCTAATTTTTATTTGTTAATGTAGGATGAATGGGTCACATTAGAAAGAATACATGCAAACTTGAAAACATTTTATGATTTTACTGTTGCTATATCAGGGAAAACCTATCCTACCCTTAATATGGTCATTCCATTTTATATTTCATTAATTGCGCACTTAAGTCTCTTTGATGATACACTCATAAACGCAATTTATGCTCAACAAAAAATTATATAACAAATTTGGAAACCATTATATCTGCTATATTAGATCCTAGACTTAAATTAGAGTTTTTTGAATGCCTACCTCCTTCTTATAATATCAACATTTCAATTATATTAAATAATTTTAAGAAAATGTTTGATAATTATCAGAGACCTGCAAGCCCGGCCAAGCCAAGGTACCAGGGCCGGGCCATATTTTAAATTTTTTAAATACCCGTGCCGGGCCTGAAAATTTTTTTTTTTAAAAACCCGGGCCGGGTTGGGCTTGAAAATTTTTTTTTTAAAATACCCGGGCCGGGCCGTATTTTTTTTTAAAATTTATAGAACATTAATTATTATATTCGTCAATTAGATATGGTTATAATGATTATATTTAGTTATGATTAAAGTAATGTTTGGTGAAAGTTAACACTAGCTAACACTCATAGTATCTATTACATAATAAAATTATAGTTTTCCTGCCATGGAATAAATACGCAAAGGATTAAATACATTATTATATAACATATAATATATGTTATATTTTTTATTAATTAAAATATCATTTTTTTTTTATAAATACATATCTCAAAATATTATTTACACAAATTTTTTATAGTATCAATTTGTAATATACTAAATATCTGTTTAGATTAAAAATAAATAATATGTTAGTGTTGTTAAAACGGCTCGTTTTGAGCCGATTTTTAAAAACGGCTTCAGTTTTTTATCCAGAAAAATATTATGCAAGCCTGAAAATTTTGCTCATAGAAGGAGAAGGTCTAGACATATAGTATCGAAATTTCGAGGCTAACTCAATATTTTTCAGGCGAAAATATTGAGTTAGCCGTTTTTAAAAATCGGCTCAAAACGAGCCGTTTAACAACATTAGCCTAATATACGCTTATTAAATGATAAAATTCGCCGAAAAATATGATAATATACGAAATAATCAATTTTTTGTATATACCAGGTCAAATATAATTTTAAAGAATTCCGAGCCGGGCCTAAAAAAATTTTTAAAAAACAGTCGGGGCCGTTCCCCCCATTAAAATTTTTTTTTAAATATCCGGGCCGGGCCTAAAATTTTTAAACCCGGGCCGGGCCGTAAAAAATTTTGAAAAAAAAATCCAGGCCGGGTCGAAAATTTTTTAATCTGGGCCGGGCCGTACAAATGGTACCTTCTGCAGGTCTCTGATAATTATAAAGTAAAATATAATGTATCAGTCTGTCAACCTTTAATACAATCAAATATGGATGTAATTTTTAAACAAAATGTCTTACCAATTTCCAAAGTTAAAATCTATTTAAAAGAAGCGAGAATCACATCAAATAAAAACCCACTAGAATGGTGGAAACTATACATGGAGATCATTTCCCGTTTTATCTAAAATGGCAAGAAACATATTAAATATACAAGGATCTTCTATCCCATGTGAGCAGCTCTTTTCTGTTGGAACGCATATGGTTAGTAAATATAGAATGTCATTTAAAGAGGATACAATCCAAAAAACTTTGTGTTTAAAAAATTGGTTGTTATCAGATTTTTCTTGATATATTGATTTTTCTGCATTATATATATACTATATGTATGTTTCTATTTATCATTCCTTCGTGTTAAATTTTACAAAATAAATTTAATATTCGATCTTTTTTATTTATGGTTAAATAAAATTTTCGAATCGAATCGAATATAATTCTACTATTCGATTCGAAAATACGAATCGAAAACGAATAATGCAATTATTCGATTCGAATTTTTGTAGGTCTAACTATGATATATATAAATTACAATTCCAAAGAAAAATTAATTAATTATGTTAATTGACATAAAATTATAAAAATTTTATACATATGATTTTATGTAAATCTAGTGTTGTTAAACGCTTCGATTTGAGATAATTTTTAAAAACGGCTAACTCAATATTTAATCCAGAAAAATATTAAGACGCCTGAATCAAAATATTGTGCACGTAAAAGGGTTAATTTTTGGAACATGAATTCTATTAAAAAACCCCACATTTACAATGATTGAATTATTATAGTGAATTGTTCGGCATATATATTACTGATAGAATCTCTAAATTTAAAAGGATAGCAGAAAGTTACCCCAAAATAGTTTTATTTGGAAAATATAGATTTGGTCGATGTTTAGCAATATCATTGTATTATAATAGGTTAGGTCTATAATAAAAGTATTATTTTTACATCAATACATTTTGCCCTTTTTCATCTAAAAATTTAATAGATAACCAATAAATTTATCCTACCTCCTACACCCCCCCCCCCTTAAAAAAATTGGATGCAAACTCTTCCTACCCCTCTCCCTTCACTCATGTAGACGCTGAGCATAGGGATGTTTGCTATCTGGTTTTTATTATACATCTATAATTAATTATACACTCGTGTATTTTGGGATTGTAAATTCTAATATATACTATTACATAACATATATAAATAGGGTCAAATTACAATCATTTGTTTATCGTCTTTTCCCATAATTAAATGTTTCATAACAATTCAACGTATTACAATGTATAGATTATGGAATACTATTTTAAAATCACGAATAAAAGTAATTTAGTTATTATTAAGTATATTTTCTCAAATTAAAACAATATTTTATTACAGATGAAATACCTCAAATTCAAAATTGTATAATTAATTAGATTGAATAATGAGGAATTTATCCCCCCCCCCCATCCCGCCATTAAAATAAGTGACATAACGTTTTATATAACGCCTATTATTTTAAATAAAGCCAAGAAATAATTACCGTCAAATGATTACCATATATTCTATTCTAATAATTTGTACCTAATATAGGATTCAAACGACTTTCAAGCATACCAATAATTTCGTCTGATAATGAAAAATCAGATTTTTCGAATAAGTTTAGCAATGGATCATCATCCTATAAAAAATAAAATTATATCCATTGAAATTATTTGTATCGAAATCGGGTATAAATGAGATAGAGCCTGGAAAGATATATTCTTAAATGTAATTTTATCAATTATTTTTTTAAAGTCTGGCCTAAAAAAATCATAAATGTACATCTTAAACCACAATAAATAATAGATTAAAAATTAATCTAATATTCTGATTTAGCAAAAACGTATGATGAATAATTTATAAATATAATTTAGTAAGGAAGTCTGGAGATTTTGTTCATAGTTGGCAAAGGTTTAGACATCTATTAACAAAACCTCGAGGCTTGTGTAATATTATTTTGACTAAAATCGTAATTCCATTGTGCCGTTTAGTAGCAATACATATTAGGGATAAATTGTTTTGAAAATAGAGTATGGCCAATCAAATCCGGATATATGGCTGGCTAGAAAATAACTTCAACTCAAAATGATCTAGATAAAAAACTATTAGAGATATAACGATTTTAATTTTATTTTATCAATTAACGTTTAGTCTACACATTTATATTAAATTTATTTGATTAAAAGCAGTCATTAAATCTTTTATCTGTCAAGAGCAAAAATATGGCCAATTATCCCTGATCCCCTCTAAATAATTTATAAATGAAACTTCTTATTTCCAAATCAATCCAAATATTTCTTCTTTATTTCTATATTTATAGGAACCCTAAATTTAAAAGATTATGTAGCCTATTACTTTAGACCTAATTTTAATTGTTTAGAACAATTTAAAAAAGAATAAACTGGCATATCAGGAAATTTACAAATATATATTTATTGACCTCGATTTTCATCTAGTTTATATACAAGAAATAGGGTAAAATAAGGAAAAAAATTCTCGCATATCTAAGAATGGGCTCAGATCTGATGTCGCCTAAAGTTAATCCATTAAAATGAGTAGTTTTGAATTGATTAACATTTATTAGGTATCCACAAAGGTCAACGTTTTAAATATACAATTTGGATTTTTAAAAAAAACTATTTTCTTCAGAACGGGTTAGTAGGTCTCTGACCTCTTAAAAAAATCTAAAAAAATAATCTGATGTTAAACTATCAATATAATGTATATAATTTTGTTTTAATATGGTTAGATAATCAAACTGGTAACTTAGGGTTAAAAGTATAAGTATCTGTGGGATTTACACTAGATTAACTGTAAGCTATTATATTGACTAAGGATTAGTTTATATAAAAAGGCTAGGGACAGATTTTTTTAATAAAAAAAATTCTAGCGGGTTTTAAGGAAATTAATAAAAATAACCTCAACTATAAAGCTTACCGTCATGCTAGATTAAGGGGAAAAACTTGCTCAAAAAAAACAAAAAAATGAATAGGCCCATTCTATCTCGAAGGTAAAGCCCAGTTCATGCAGAAAATTATTCACTTTGTTAAACATTACAATAATAATATAGTATTACTGTACTAAAGTGCTCATTTTTTGGTGTAACCTTATCTTCATTGTCCGTATTAAATTTTAACGAGTCCTTTTTGTAGGGTGTTTCTTTTAAGCGTTCATGGAAAATTATGGGAGATTTTTTACATTCTAATTCATCGATTTTAGATTTATCATCAACCGAGTTATCAATTTTTGACTCATTCGCATAATATATGTTTGAGATTTTAGAATAAAATCCATCATCAACTTTATCTAATCCAGATGTATTATAAGTGTCATTTATAATTTGTTCGGAAGTATTTTTGATATTTACATTAATTACTAATATATCATTATTTCGAACATCAAAATCATTTCTTATATTACTAAAATCATCACTATTATTTGTAGTTACATTAATAATGTTTTCTTCATGGAATGTTTGATTTTTATGATGAATTGTATGAAAATTTACTATATGGTTCATATCTTTTTTTAGAGACTCCTCCTCTGATATTAACGATACAGAATCTGGGGATGTTGATGAAGGACATTTTGATTCAATAACTAAATTAGTTTGATTTAAATTATTTACATTAACATTTTTGGAATCATTTAGAGGAATGGATACAGGACATAAGAGGTCCTTTATGTTATATGTACTCTTATTTTTTAAAATTGAGGATGATGTCATATATGTGTTTGTCAGTAATGAAGGTGTTGCTTGGCAAGTAAGTAATATCTCATTTATAACAGTTTTATCGATATAATTATTTAAATCAAGTTTATGTTCCAATTCAATTTGATGTTCCAATTCAATTTTATGATAAGAAGAATTTTTTTTCCCATTGATAATTTGATTGCCAGTTACTTCGTTTATATCATCATCACAAGTTTCTAAACCGCTTAGATACAACGGTAATTCCACTTTTACCGGTAGGAGTTTTCTTTCACTATTAATATAGCCATTCTATATATTATCAACACAACAGATATAAGAAAGATACAACCCCTATTACCCTATAAGACACCTTTCAAATTTTAAAATTGCAAATGTAAAAAAAAGTGATATTAAATATAGTATCATTTTTTTGACGGAATTTTAAAATAAAATTTATTTATCATCAATCATTTCATTTTTTATATCTAAAAACTATTGAAAAAAAGTGTACCAATAAAAAAAAATAATAAAAAATAAAGTAACAAAGACTGAAATATACATAATCTAAAGGTTAAACTAAAAATAATATGAAATTCTATTGATATAAAAGAGTGCTGCGATTCTATCAATTTTGCCTAGAAATATCAACCAAAATAACAACGAAAGCCAAATTAATCAATATTAAGATATCTGGCTTAATCTCAACTTTATGATTTTTAGCATGAAAATTTTAATTTAATATAACCTTTACTATATTTAATATAAATAACTTATATTGTAATTTATTTTAAAATAAATATGATATTTCACATGATTTTTTTTAAAATTTTTAACATATGCAATTTTTAAATTTGATGGGGGCTCCAATTAAGGCAAATAGGGATAGGATATAGTTAAAACGATTAAAAAAAATGATTATATACTATTCAAAAAAATCAAAATATACCATGGGCTGACGCAAATAAGCTTGTATTTCATTGCTCATACCAGATTCCATAAACAATGATTCATTCATTATATTATCGTTTTCGTCAATGTCATTATTGAACAAATCTGACTCTTCCAGCGTGTCCATATGTTCATATGATCGTCTAATAAGACTTGATTTTCCTGATGATATCATTTTTTTCAACAAATAATGCTTTTTACGCCATATTTTTGTCATTTTACCGTTCAACAACTCTTTCAACTTTTTTCCTTGCGACATATTTGACATATCTGCAAATCGGAAAAATTAATAATCGTGTTATATATAACATTCTTATACAAGTAGATTTATTAATACAGTTAAACTAGGGTTATGCATTTGACTGGTCAAATGCGATTCGGTCAATTGACCGATATCTGACCGGTCAAATATAGTCAAATTCAAATAAATGTTTTTTACGCCAATATTAACTTTAATATTATAATGAATCTATGTAATATTAAATTTTATAATATTTTTTTAAATTCATTCCATAGTTAATGTTTCCCCTGCAGAGTCTTGTTCCGATTCATATTCAATATCATTATTTTCTTTAATATTTTTAATCAATCTTAAGTTATAATATACTCTTACCAATTTTCCGTAGAAGTCTTCAATCGATTTCTGTTTTTCGTATTATTATTACCCCAAACCGACCAATTTTTTTCTGAAGAAGAAGTTGAACTAGGAAATTTAGTAAAATATTTGCTACTTCTCTTAATAAGCAAGGTGGGCAAAGTGTATTTTACCAACTCGAGGCCGAAATCTGATTTGTTTGTTATGGAAGTTACCACTTTTCACATATTTTGGTTATTAAATATGACGCTTTTAATTCTGAAATTTATTATATCACTTAAAATATTTTGATTACCACTACCTTGTTGTAATACTAGTAAGATGTTCCCCTTGATATTGGGGGTCGAATAAATAAGCAGCATTGTGAGCCATGTATTTAGATCATTTTTTCTCTTTTTAAACATAACTTTAATTTTTTTTTCTTCAGATGGAGATTACGTGTGTCAAAGTACATTTATCCCTTGCACTTTTAACAATAAGGTGGCTAAAGGTTGGAGTATAGCTAAAAAATTTAAATTTTTCATCCAAATTTCTTCATTTTATATATTATTGGTAATTTCTATGGGACAAACATCCAGCTTCTTCGACAGCTGATGCTTTCAGAGGTTTCTTACATATTTGTATTTGCTCCATATATTTTATTGACGATGCCCATCTTGTTTGGATAATTATACTTAATGTTGATGGTATACCATGTTGATTCTTATTACAGGAAAATACTGCAGCTGGTATGTGTTTATTCATGAAAAATTACAATTTTTTTAATTATTGAAATATGGTAACTGAAGTCGTTCAATCTTTCAAAATCGTGAAGAATAACTGCAATGAATACGCCGCACAGCTATAACATTGTATATGATTATAAATAGATTCAGATTTTAGAATTCTTTAGGCTGCTAACATGTTAGCAGTATTATCATTAACAAAATAAACTTTTACCGGATTCAATTCATGAATTACATTTTTAAATTCCTGGGCAATATACCTTATGGCGATTTTCCTCAGTATTTAAAATTTTTTAGAGTACTGGAACAGGCGTCATCACCATAAAATTATTAACACTCTCGTTTCTGATGTTGCTCCAGCTATCTGATACAAAAGTGAGGAGCTTTATCTATTATATCTGCAACTCTCGCCTCCAATCTCCTGACGCTTTGTCTAGGAAATATCCAGCCAGCTGCCTTCTCCTGGGTAAAGTGTAAATAAGACGTATTTTTTTAAAGAATTCTTGGATATAGGGATTTTCAGTGGTGTGGAAAGTTAAATTACTCGCATATATAGCTTTTGCAAACAATTGATAGAGCTCATTTTTTTCTTTTGGATTCATTCTATCTATGAAACACGTTATATAAGATTGAGGTTTACATCTAATCGCCTTGCTTGAGATTGGTCAGTGATAATGAAATCAAATTTTCTTGAATCACAAGTCAATTTGATAATCATTCTCACTAATTTCATCTAATTCTTCGTCAGAGCTAGAAGTATTACAAATTACATTTATGCGATTTTTTGTAGAGGTTAATATTTTAAAATTTGAATAAAATTTTTCCTAATTATGTCAAGGCACATAGTACAGCTGCTTAATAAATGCCTGCCATTCTATAAACATGGGTAATATAGGACATCTTGCGAAACATGCATACCGCTTTAGCTGATTTACCATAGGTACTTCTTGAAAATGTTTCCAAACTTGATGCTTTGGTTTGACCATAATCCCAAATATATTGAAATTTAACTATAAAAGTTTATGATTATTGTAAAGTTAATTAATCTTAATTATTTTACAATTATCGCCAATTATTTCAATAATTTGGCTTAAAATTTATAAAATATAATGTATAACTTTTACCAGAATTGGATAAATTATTTTGTAAATCTGACCAGAACAACTAAAAAGAAAATTAATTTATAAATCCAAATGTAGGAAGAATAAATGAGAATTAATATAGACCAAATATTAAATAAAATTTAAATTTATTGAAAAATAAACCATGACTTAGCTAAATTATTATATATATTTATTTTAGAAAAAAAAAATTCTCTTGTTTTCGATACCTTCATGATACAAATATATTTTTAAATAAATTGTAACCTAATAAGATTGATAAACATGCTTCTTTTAATGCATACTAGTTAATTATATTAAAATATTATTCGCCGTCAAATACTCCTCCGGTCAATTGACCGGTTAATTGACAGACCTGCTAACCCTGATAAACGATATGCATAAGGTACCCATTCAAACCGTGACATAGATGCTCATTTTAGGGAAAAAATTTAGAAATAATCACTATACCAAGAATTTTAGAACTATGATCGTGATAAATTTAAAATTTAAAGCTAGGTATAAAAATTTTTAATTTTTTACCCATATCTATCCAATGATCATGCATAGAAGAATTTTCAGAATATACGCTTTCCAGGGAACGTTGAAAGATTTTCCATTTTTTACCTTGCCCTAAAATATCTATAAAATAAAATACGACTAATTAAATAATCATTATTTTTTTAAATATAATAAATTCAGCAAAAGCGGTATATTTTCAGCCGATAAGAAATGAAAGATATCCACTTCGATACAGGATTAAATTAAAAAAAATTTTTTTTTGGCTAGCGACTAAGAATTATTTGATAAATTGTACAGCTTTTTTTAGAAAGGGCTCAAACTATTTATTGTTATACCATAACCGAATTTTTAAAACAGCTTAACATTATAATTAAAGTCCTTATTTATATTATTTATTTATATCATATTGCAAGAACTTGCAGAGGTCAAAATTTTAAGACCGGCAAGGAGTTAAAAAATTTTATTTTCTTCTAGCCAGGACCGGCCGGATCAAAAGTTTTATTTTCAAGCCTGGACCAACCCGGATAAAATTTTCTTTTTATTTTCAAGATCGGCCCAGATAATTTTTTAAAATTTTTGACCTGAACCGGAATTTTTAAAATTTCGCTATTTTGTATAATCTTGGCTGTATTTTGCAAATTCAATGGGAAATTAAAAATATGAGCAGTAAATGAATATTATATTCTTCATTGTTATAAATGTTAGATTTAATTTGCATAAAGATTTCTTTTGGATTTTGTTGTACTTTATATGTAATTTGCATAAAGAATTCTTGTGGATTTATTGTTATAACGCGTGATAAAAAGATTATATTTGAATAGTTATGATTAGTTATAAGAAGATTGAAAAGAGTATAAAAAGGCAAATTTTTACGATACAAAGAATCTTTGATTTTTTTAAAATTATTAATTTTTTTAATTATATTTTCTTTTATTTTATTTTCTTTTTTTATGATTTTTACTATTATAATCTTGAATAAAGACTTAAAGTTGATTTTATGATTTCGTGATTCCTAATTATTATTAATTTCCTTTATATATATATTTGTTTTCTATTTTTATATTTAGGTTTTGATGTACAATGACAAACTTGTCGTTGTGACAATGGTGTTGGAGAGCGGAGGAGACCGACCCTTTACAACTTTCAGTCTAATGCAAATCACGCATTGTGACCGGTGGGACAACAAGGAGATGTGTCAAACTGTATTTACAAAAAAAAAAAATTCCAGAAGAACGTAAGAAAAATATGTAAATAAAGATGAAAAGGAAAAATTATGTTGTTAAGATTATGTTTATGTAGGAATATAAAATCTAAAATTAAAGACAAAGGTAACATTCATAGTAATTAAGATATAATTGTGTTTAGTTATTTAAAGGTGATAATTCGGAATTTTATATTTAGAAGTTACTGGTAAACTAAAAACCATTAGAATTTTGAAACTAATAAAGACTATGATATTTTAGATTTTAGAATTATTATCAAGTGATCACTAGAAATAACTTTGACAAAGAAATAGAAACATAAATTGCGAAAGTTAATATTTAACTAATAGGTTGCTGAGATATAATAATTAAAAAATTCGGTGAATAAGATTAGAATATAACTTTATTGTTAGGAAATAGTTGATTAAATTCTTATTGAAGATTTACGTTTAACTTTTATTTTAAGGGCTGCGAGAGATAAAACAGCCTCAAGGATTAATGTGAATTAGTATATTAGGTTGTAGATTAACCAAAAAATTTTCATAGAGAGAATCGGCTTTTCGTCATTAGAAAATTTATGCCACAATCGAGCTCAATTTGAGATCGGATTTTTATTTTGAATCATGAATAAGATTTAAGAAGAATTATACAATATTATTCTAATAATACAAAAGGAAAATCATGCTTTAGAAATATACATATCAGTTTTCAACAACGGTTGTGCGAAAAATTATAATGATTAGATTTCATAAGTTCTTCAAAGACGTGGGGTGAAAACCATAGTGATTAGAGTTAAGAGGTTGTTCATAAACGTAACTATGAAAACTTTTATGATTAGATGTCATTGATTTCTCAACAACGTATGTATGAAAAGAGATTTATATATTTCAGCAGTTTTTTTTAAAGACTTGAGTGTCAAAGAGTACATGAGGAAATAAATACACAATGATAATTTTTTTAAAAGATAGGTTTTGATATATATTTTAGAATAGGATTTTTAGATATAATTTAGTAACATGGCTGAAAAGAAGATGAGGATCAATAGCTAAAGGATGAGTACAAGTAAATTTTTCAATGAAAATATGGGTCTAGGCTTCATTAAGGGGAGAGGGGTGATAGAATTTGATATATTTATATAATTTATTATATTTTGCTACGTATTATAAATTTAAGATTTAGTATAATTTACGCCATTTATTAAAGGCAGAATTAGTTTAGAGGAGATAAATGTAGACATTAGGATAAGGTTGGTATAATTATATATTTTATTAGTATATTTGTATTAGGTAGTTTATATTTGAGAATAAATATAAGAAAGTGATAAAATATTTCAGAAGTTATTTAAATAGATTATTTTAGGTAGAAGTAGATTAGATGTGATTACCCGATATCTCAGCAAGGGCAAACTGTCGTAGAAGACTCGGAAGTCTGAAAGATAGATACGATTACAAGAATTAGACCAATCAATTACAAGAGAAAGGGGAAAACAAGCAAATTGATAGAAAGTAGGGTCAAGACGTTATGCTGCAATCGTTAATCGCTGACCAATAATAGCCAATTATTACCGAGACTTTAGTCTGGATAGGAAACAAGCTACGATAAATTGTAAAAAAGATTAAGACAGACTAGCAAAAAACAAGAGAGGAAAAGAAACTGGATGTCATCGATAATCGTTATCAATCGTTGATAGTGGAAAACAGGCGTGTATCAAGTTCGTCAGTGGCTTACAGCGATAAAAAGCTGATCGTTTCACAGGGTGACAAGCGACAGATAGAATTCAAAAATTTTAAGCGACAAAGCCTTCGTTAGAACTTAGAAGACAGCAAAAATTAAGAAGAATAAGTCGAGATCAAAAGAAGATTGATCATTCGCAGAATGTTGGGTCTAATTTAAGTAGGAAGGTGTTGTAAATGTTAGATTTAATTTGCATAAAGATTTCTTTTGGATTTTGTTGTACTTTATATGTAATTTGCATAAAGAATTCTTGTGGATTTATTGTTATAACGCGTGATAAAAAGATTATATTTGAATAGGATTAGTTATAAGAAGATTGAAAAGAGTATAAAAAGGCAAATTTTTATGATACAAAGAATCTTTGATTTTTTTAAAATTATTAATTTTTTTAATTATATTTTCTTTTATTTTATTTTCTTTTTTTATGATTTTTACTATTATAATTTTGAATAAAGACTTAAAGTTGATTTTATGATTTCGTGATTCCTAATTATTATTATTATCGATTTTTAAAGTTATCATTTTTCTGCCCGTTCTGGGTCAGATCTGCTGGTATCTGATATTTTTTTAATAAATAGATAAAAGTAATAAATTATCAAAGCTATTGTTGAATATTTAAATTTGATACATAACATTAAAAAATAGTTAGCGATTTCTTTGTTATAAGCTTTTTTTTTTAAAAAAAATTGGGAAGGGGCCGCAATAAGCTACGGGCTGGACCTTAGATTTTGCAGGTCACCAATTGTGAAATTTATTCTTGATAAATTTCACATTTAATTTTTCATTTTTTTTTGTGAATTCAATAGCTGGTCTTGGGCTCGTAGTTTTCCGTTATTATAAAGTCGAAATTAAAATAAATTTAAAATGATGATCAAAAAATTAAAAATAATTTACTGTTATATTGTTCTTTATTTAAGTGATGTTCCGTTCTCCATGAGCTGAATTTCTTTCTCAAATCGTTATTTCTTATTGGTTCGTTTGGCACATCTTTCAAAAACTTTTCCAACGTCTTCACCTTTATTTTTATTTTATAGAACTTATAAATTTAAAAGAAATAGATTATATACCCGACCCTCCAAGGATTTAATCATATCTTGGTATTGTCTATTTTGTTGATTATAATTTTCCAGAAGGTACTTATGTTTATTTTGATAGGCTAATATTAGGCCTTTAGCTGCATCGTATTTCGCAGTTATTTCCTTGTTAGATTTTGATTCAGGAGGATCTTCATTATATGCATTGATATTATCATTGGAGCCACTTTTATATGAGTTATGTTTAAATGCATCATTTAATAATTGTTTATTTTGTTTTAAATGGGTTATTAATTCGTTGCCTTGCTTCCGTCCTAATGATCCTAAGTTTTTAAGAGAATATGTTGTTTTAGGTTTTTTGTTTTTGTCCCTATTCCTGTCAGGGTTCTTGACATTTTCTTTGATCGTATGCTTTATTTAATGATTTTAAAATAAAAATTACATTCGGATTTTATAATGACTAGTTATTTAAGTTTATAAGTATTTACTTGCGAAAAATTTTTATTTCCAATTTTACCATTACTAAGTTGTTTATCTTTTGGTACAGAAATAATCTCTTTATCAGAATCTTTAACACCATCTGAGTTTGTAGTCTTATGGCGGCACCGCTGAAACCGATCGTGCTTGATTTTTAAACCATCCAGCCTTTCAAACATCATTTTATTTGCATATTTGGTGGGATTTTCCGAATTTACAAATTTTAATGAATCATAATCATCCTTCACCGTTTTCAATAGTATAGATATTTTTGATTCATCTTCATAGGAACCAGACTTTAGAAGTTTTTTGTGCTTTATATGTTCAAACGGTAACTCACATTTTGACATATCCGTATAATAATCGTCATAGTGAAGATTGTTATGAATGATGCTTTGGTAAGAGCTATTAGTGTCATTCTTTTCAAGATCATGTAGCTTTTCTCTACCAATCATAAATTTTACTAAACCATGGGTTTTTGTCAAAACTTCAGAAGCATATTCTTGCGTAACTCCTACTAAACTTTTTCCATCTACCTCTATAATTTGGTCATAAACTTTAATTCTTTTTTTTTTGTTTTAATTATTATATAAATATTATTGTTTTTAATGAGAATTAATGATTATACTCATGAATCCTAAACTAAAAAAAGAAAGAGAAAGAAAAAGAAAAAGAGAATGCTTATTTACCTTCCGTCTTTAAAGGCCGAACCGTTCGGTGTTAGCCCTTTAACAAAAATGCCTAGTTTTTGCATACCAATTTCTGACCCAATGCCTAACCCAATTATGTTGATACCCAATCCTCCTTGATCTAAAAGATTAATAATGAATATTTCGATATAATGGAAATGTAAAAGTAAATATATAGCAGTGTATACTGGAATTTAATGTATCCCAAATTGCAAGTGTTTAATATAATGGCATTTTGCACTATATGGAATCTCAATTTTTTTTTCTTTAAAATGGTATTCAATTTTCAGAGTTGTTAACACTCCTTTTAAAAAGTAGCTAGCTCCTGCTCCTACCTATTCAAAAAGAGCTAGCTCCAGCTATTACATTTTTAAAAGGAGCTAGCTCCCGCTACTACATTTTTAAAAGGAGCTAGCTCCCGCTCCAAGTAATGGAGTGCCACTCCATAACCGTTCCTTTGATTTTCATTTTTTAGAAGGTACACGAAACAAAATCATATTTTTTTATCAAAAAGTAATGATCTATCAAAATATTTATAATCTTTTATTAGCCTTTAAAATTAATAAATTTTCTATAGAATCTAACAAACATCCACGCCTCTCCCCTAAGACCTGTTTTGCAATACTAAATAAGCGCTCCATAGGAGCACTAGAGGGAGCGGGTTATTGTATTTTATAAAGATATTTTTCAATTCAGGTATAAAAAAGGAGGTTGAACAAGTAATGAGAAAATTAAAATAAATATTAAAATATATTTAAAAAAGCATCATATCTAACAACCCAAGCTCAACTATAATAAATTGCCCAAAAATAATTATAACCATTTAAAAAAATATTATACCAAAATAAAAAAAAATATAGTTATCATTTCGTAAAGAAAGATTTTTTACTTTTAGATGATTTTTTAGATTAAAGCTGCTCACTTTTGAAAATGAAATACTTTTAATTAAACACAAAAGGCATTTTGTCCTTAAATTTGTTTGATCATTTGGATCAACATCTTTTAGAAGTTTAAAATATTTTTTGTATGATGGAAATGGAAATTCGGTTTCTTCTTCTATGATCTATAAATCTATAATATCCAAAACTATTTTTTATTATATATCTATAAAATGAATATTAATATGACTTACAAGATTTTCCACAAAATTTTCAATATAAAAATGAAAAACTGATGTTTAATATTTAAAAGATTAGAAGAAAAACCAATATAAAACTCGGCTCATCATTTAATAATGGATAAATTTAAATAAAATAAAATTTCATTTTTATCGAATTATAATTAACAAATATTATTAATATTTAAAAAATAATTTAATTTATACCATAAATTAAAGGAGCGGTGGAGCGGCGCTCCTCCATTCCAGTCCTAAAAGGAGCTAGCTTCCGCTCCCGCTCCTCATTTTTAAAAAGGAGGGGGCGCTCCAGATGTTTTTGAAAAAATGTAGCGCCGCTCCTTAACAACTCTGTCTATTTTACATTATGATAACATAAAATTTTATTCTAAATAATATTTTAAAAAATTCTGAAAAATACATCTTCCTTTTTTGAAAATTTCAAAGTTGTAAAATTCTGCTTTTAAGCAGAAATTTGAAAAAAATAGTTGAAGCTTTCTTATTACTAGTCTGATGAATCGATTAATTGGAACATAACTAACTGACTTAAATATATAGCATTTCTACCTTAATGTAACGTATTCCATTCAAAAAAATGCGCATAATATTTTATAATTAACCAACTTCTTATTTTTAATCAATCATGCAAAATAACCAAATGTATTAAAAAATTGATTAAAATGTATAATTTTGATATGTTGACAAAAAAATGATGGTCAAATAATATTATGCACAAATAACTTTAAACTTTCAAAAAATTAAAAATGGTATATTTGTTTCGGGTAAATATAAAAATATTTATTATATAAAATAAGATTCTATAACACCCTGGTGTAAAATTGAATACCATTAAAAAATATTATATAAAAATTGAGATTCCACATGTTATATAAAAATTGAGATTCCATGTTACCCTAGAGTAAAATTAAACTTCACTACCAGTGCAATTGAGACTTCATTTATTAACTAACCTCTTACTAATTCCACGGGAAATATATCCATATTCTCTAATCTTTTTTCAAGTTCGTATTCTGCGGATGCCAACAAAGGATTTATTTCTTCATTTTTTCTATCATATTCCGAAATCGAATAAGTATTAAAAATCTAATATATTATACAATCAATTCAATTTATTCTTTAAAAATTGGTATATAAAATACTTGAATAGGATTAGAACTAAATTTCACTCTATAGGATTTATTTTGGAGGTGGGTGCCACTTTTTTTCAATTCATTATTTTTATCTGATGATTTTAAATATTCCAAAATTGAGGAATATTGCCTTTTCTCAATTTCAGGAGAAATATCTTCATCAATTTTACACATACCAAATAAACCATTGGAGTCGTTGGATATATCATTTATTTCTTTGCATCTTATTTTAAAAAAATATATTTTTTTAAATTCAAATCAAAATCAAATATATATTCATATTATTTATCCTTTAAATGTTCAGAATAATTGATAAGATAACATAAAGAATAAGCATTAGAAAGGATAGTGCTAGAAGATCACTGGTTGAATCAAAACTCAATACATTTTTTTTTGCAAAAATTTAGCCATGAACGTGAGATATATCCATTAAATCAGTCGCTTGTGTTATATGTATAGGCTACTTTTTATATATAAATGTTTATTTAAAAATATTGAAAATTGAAAGAGTTTAGAGTATTTTCGATGTGAGGGTGCGGTGACAATAGCAAAAGTTTGGAATTATATATTCAGATATATATCCAGGATTTCCGAGAGGGTTAAAAAATATTTCCATCTAAAAATAAATATATACATAAATATTTAATCATAAAAAAGAAAGATGGTAGAACCCATTTTCGACTTAACAAATAGCTGGGGGAAGTTGGAGATTTGGTTTGAATCTGTTTCAGATTTTAATCAAAGTAGAGGAGACCAAGATATATCTTAGCAGAAATTATGAAAGAAAGCAATTTTATCTTCCAAGGACACTTCAAAGCCTTCCAAGAGTATGTGCTTACGTCAGGTGGGTAACCAAAAGAGGAGGAAGGGGAAATCCCCCCATAGCAAAAATTTGCATGTTTTGGAAAATATAATTTTAAGCTAATAAAAATCCCCCCTCCTCTACGCATCCCCACCCCCTCTCCCCAAGAAATGTATACAATATATCACTTAGGGAAGATTTGAATGAAAAATTACTAAAAGATAATAATCTTTTAAAATAACGACGATAATTCAAAATTTAAAAAAAGTGAAAGCCTAAAATTATTTTTATAAAATCTAATATAGCCAAAGGCTTATAATAAGGGAGCCTAAAACCCCATCTACTAGTGCCCCCCGCCCCCTCCCTTCAGCAAAATCATGACACCAATTACTTATGAGAAACGAATATGACTTGCAAAAAATGATAGTACCAAGAGAAGCAAGTGAATTGGTCTGTATGCTTAAACACTGTAACACACCAAAAATGAATATATAAGTTAAATAATATTTTAAAAAGAAAAAAAAACAGTCAGATATAAAAAATATATAAAATATACGAAAGTTAAAAACAATTTTATTTTAAATTGTTATTCAAAAATCAATTACGTCCACTATAATAAGGTTTCTTTTTCTCAGATTTAAAATATTTTTGAATCTTATGATCTCTATAAAGATATTATTTGTTCTGGTAAACAGTATAAATTAAAAATCGATGGCAAAATACAAAATTACCCAATTTATATCAAGATAGAGTGAAGAAGATGCACAAAAGCAAATATAATAAATAAACAAAATCTCGAAAAGAATTATTTATCATTAATTATAAAAAATCAACTTTTTATCATATTTCAAAATACGAGACTTGATGTCTCTGGCTGTAAATTTGATACTCTTATAATCTTTTCCATAGAAGGGGTGAATGGTTAAATCCAAGAATCCCCCCCCCTTCTACGTCATTGTAGGTATTAAACATATACATATTTGCCTTGTTAAAATTGATTAATAGTTGCCACACTTATCATCCATCTTTTTATAAATAGAGTTATTATAAATAAAATTTAATACAAATGGTGATAAATATTAGGTGTCCTATTGAAAAGGCTGTGATTGAAAGATACAGGATAAACAATTACCATAATTTGATTAGTTGAAAAATATATATAATAACAATGTAATTTTTAAAAATAGTATTAACTTTCCCCCTACATTCTTCACAACACTCTCTTCCCAAAATATGAATATAATATTATATTATAAACAATATTTCAAAATAAAATAAAATAAGTAAAAGTTGATAATTTTTTAAAACAATGACACTACGATTTAAAATTTTATAATATATAAAAAATATTTAAATACCTAAATCTAAAAAGTAAACCAATAGCGAGGAATTTTAAAAATAAGTTAAGTATTGTCTGGCATAGATCCATGGATGGAGATATGATCTGTATATCTTGAGAGATATTCTTTGTTTAAAATTTTCTCTGGAATCTCCTGTGATCGTTGTTAATTTTTTACCTAAAGTTTTTTAAAGTATATCGCTTCTTTGCCGAAGTTCCCTCAGGAACTACGTTTTCTAATTGCGAATATATGTTGCGTTTGGATAATTCGACAGCCTCAATAAAGGCCTATTTTAGAAAATATTGATTTTAAAAAAGTCAAAATCCAAAATTATTTTAAAAAAAATGTAACCCAACCAAAAGTTTGCAATAAACTCTCCGATAAAATTTATAAGGAAAAATCTACCTAATAATTCCCCCACCCTTCTGTGCATATGGAAACTACATCATCGAGCTTATATCGCATAAAGTCTGTCGCTCAAATTATAAGAATACTATGCCGTTATTGTGGATGATCTCTCGTCTCTTCCTTTTTTATACATTTGGGTTTTTTTAAAATTCTTTTTTTAGATCATTTTATTTTACTTAATATTTTTTTTAAAAAAATATAGACGTCAATTTCAATGGATTTACTTTTTAAATTACACATTAAGATAGAAATAACGCCCTTCTAAAAAAAAGAGGTAAATAAAAATTCTTTCTAAAATTTTTCTTCATTTACACAGCGAACTTCTCTTATGCCAATTCGGTTCTTACTAAAAATTATTGTATAATTATATTTTTTCTTTCTAATTATGTATATATAGTATTAGAGATCTACAATAAATATATTAAATTTAAAAAATCCCCTTTTGAATTTTAATTTTTCTAAACTTTTTTGATTAATTTTATTAAGTATTACACTGAAGGCAAAAGCAATCCCCTCACTATTACAAAATTAATTGATCGTATCAACAATTACCTAGATATTTTTTGTCATGAAGTTTTAAAAATAATGAGAAGCAAAACCTTAAGATTTATGCATGAATTAAAATTTATGTTAATATTGAACTTATACTTTATATAAATTTATAAAATGAATATTTAAAAAAAAATTTACTATATAAAATTAAAGTGATCATAAATATATTTTTTATATATAATAATAATAATATTTAAAAAAAATTCTTTAAAGCAAAGCAATGATAAGGTTATATCTTAAAATCAGGTAACAATGTATGAGGTCAAACATCAAATTAGAATATTAATGATGCTTATTATTTACTTTAAAATTTAATTATAAAAGGAACCAATTCCACGATGAAAAGAAAGAAGATATGAATGTTAGCGTCAGTGTGTTTTTCCCGTCAATGTGTAATTTTTTTTAAACCTAAAATCATTTCTTCAACACGTTTTTTAAATTTAAAGAATTCGATTTTAGAGTAAATGTATTTCAGCATGTTTAGAATACTCACACTATGAATTTCAGACTATTTTGCCATTTATCTTAAAGCCATTTATAATTTATATGGAAAAATTAAAATAAATTATATTAAAATCAAAAGTTAACGATAAAATTATTTTAAATTCATTGGCAGATTTGATTAGGAATGAATTTAACTCAACAATTTATATGCCCAGAGTTAAAAATAATAAAATTGCCTTTTTCGATGTTTTTTATGTTTTAAATAAAAAAAATTTTAACTTAATTTAATATTAATTTTCGTTAAATTTTTTCACTAAAATGCAAAATTGTGTAGCGTATTCTTGCTATCAGATATCTTCTCTTCAAAGTCCAGTAAGATTTCTTAGCTGACCGGACAATTAAACTAGATAAAAAATACATCAGATAGAAGACCAAAATTGATTTTCCAATCAATTAAAATATATTCTAAAAATTGGGGTCTTTAAATATGGTATATTTTTGTTCAATTAGTGTACCCCCCCCCCCAATATGAATTTTTAAAATTTATTGTTTAGATAATATACTATTTCAAGTGGAGACCTGAGTTATACGTCTATGATTTTGTTTTTCTTATTGAAATTGTTAATAATTGTCATTAATCAAAAAAAATCCAGATTATTTTTATGTAAAGATGGGTTTTTGGACCAATCAACCCAACCATGGTGTTGACTGGCCAAATATTCTGTGCTGACTGGCCATACTTGTTTTTTAATATCACAATTAAAATCTATAATAATTTTTAATATGCTTATAGCTCTGAAGTTAATAATCTGTGTTTTATTTATGGAAATATTTTGATATGAAATTGAATGTGGTTTGATATATATATAGTTGTAAGGTTTATATTATTTTTAAAATTGTTTTATTTTTATTATAATTAGCTTTCAATAGTTGAGCTATTTGATTTATGAAATGGCTCTCAACATCTAACCGGTCAAATATTTTATAAAGAAATTTTAACGGGTTATAATATATATTAAATTTCATTTTTAAGTTTTCAATTTTTGAATAGTGTAAAAGTTTAGGATAAAATTTCTATAGAATTTGAATTTATTTGCATGATTTTTTAATAATATTTTAGTAGAAAGGGTAACTAATTACAAAAAATATTTAAAATTGGATTGATCAATCGAATAATTAATATTATATCTGGTACATGTCGTAAAACACATTTTGACTAATTTTAAAATAAATTGATATAATAATATTCTATATAATCAAAGTGGTATAACCAGTCAACCTGAATGGCTACTTACCCTCTCCCTATATATCATATAGGCGAGAAAATATATTTCCAGTGAATATAAAAAATATCTTAGATTTATTGATTTCATAAATTGGTTAGAATATTATTCCCAAATTGTTATGCTTTTTATTTAATTAAAAGGTATTATACTTATTAATTATTTTAGCACTTTAGAAAATATAAACAATTATAGTTTTTTAAAAAAAAAGACAAATAGTCTTAAAATAAAAGATAAGAATAAAATATAGGTGAAAATAAAGATATTTCAGCGCTAAATACTATTGCACTCTCATAGCAGTGGTCTCTATGTGGGAGGGGTATTTTTTTTAGAAGGAGCCCTATCAAGTTAAAAAAGTTATCGATGTAACTGTCTTTCAGTAAATAGGCACTAGCCAGGCTTGAAAATATACCTAAATCTAATAATGTAACCAGAGGGGGAGGGGGTGAATTAGGAAAACCCCTCCCCAATTAAAAGCTTGAAAGTTTTGTTAAATATTATTTTATTAGCTCATAAAAATTATCCTCTTACACTCCCTCAGCCCCCTCCTTTCAACAAAAAACAAATAAAATAAGTATAATAATTACTATATCATAGAAATAGATATAATTATTCTTTTCGAGCATGTTATGCAGACCATTAGTAGTATACGATTTACCAAATTATTTTTTTCAAAATTTATAATGCACTTTATTAAACTTAGTTTATATATTTATATCCATAATATTTTACGGTTGTAGAGATTAGAAAATAACAATATCATTCAAAGAAAAAAGTCCAATTTATATGAATACTATACTATATTAGTGACATGCAGTATCAAAAAGCGCAGCCCGCGATTTAAAAATGCTTAATTTTCAAGCCTGGCCAGAATTTTTTATTTAAATCATGTTTGTCCAATCTCGACTTTCTAATTTATTTTTCAAGCCAGCCCTTACTTATAAATTTTTATCATTTTACGGCCGTGCCCGATTTTTAATTGATATAATTTATATTTATTTTTTAGAAAAGTCGTTCCAGGATTTGTAAAAAATAATATTTATAGGCCCTCTTTTTTTCTTTCTATCTCAGGTATGTATTTTTTTTAAATATTAAGCCCAGCCCGGTTTTTAAGGCCAGCTTTGATTTGGACTTACAGGTCTATGATGTATACCTAAGTTATTGCAAATGTACTCATTTTCCAAAATTATTTTAAATTATGATAATAGCTTTAATTGCCTTTCAAAAGCTTTATCTTACGGGATAGGAACCATGAATTTTTTTTACTCGTTATTATATACTTAGATGCAAGATTACTGGCTTATATACTTTATGGAATGGCATACACGAAATCTCGGGGCCCCTAAAAAATTCAACTGACATTATGTTAATAATAACAATTACAGCATACTTTTTATTTTCTATTGCCATCTCTGACCCGTTATTCAGTAGATTATTCGAATTATTTTCTGAATCCGTTTTATTTATCTCTAATGGGGAAAGCAAAATATCTTTTTTTAATAAAGGTCGATTCTCCAAGACTCCTATTTGTGAAAGGAATTCATTTTTTCGAAAATAACGATCATCTAAATGGCGAAACGCTTCTGATAAATTGACTATCTCTTTTGCAAACTTATAAGATTGAGAATGTTTATTGACTTCATCAAAACTATTTATGCAGCCCGGTTTATCATTTTGTTTAAAGGGAGGGATTACAAGATTTTTGCAATTTTTATACTGCGGGGAAATATTTAAAGGGGATATTAAGTTACAGAAGGGAGAGTTATTTAATTCAGTTTGTAATAAGTTATCAATTTTTTTGGAGGTATTGACATATACTTCAATTGTTAAATCGTTAATTGTTGGAGGGGAATCAGATAAAGGAGGGTGAATAATTTTATCTTTTAAAGTCTCATCGGCAGACATATCATTCTGTATTGAAAGTGGGAATGATAAGATCGAGATACCTTCATTAAGTGTTTCCTTAAGCTTTAGGCTCTTGTCTTTGTTTGAGTCAAAGATATTTGCCTTGTTATCTTTTGTAAGCTTTGTATTTTCATTATAATTAGCTTTCAATAATGTCGGGGATAGTGTACGGTAATAAGCTAGAGATGTAATGAGATTGCAAGTTTCTTTATCAAGCTTTTGATTTTTATCAGTTTCATTCTGGTTATTAAATGCTGATAATTCGTTGCTTAAATAAGTGTCATGAACCATAGATTTAGGAGGAATAAATTTAATTGGTTCTGAACAAGTGTTGAAATTTTTGGTTTTTACAAAATCCATGTGGCCATTAAGGGTATCGATATTATGAATATTGACTTTAGATGATGCTGATGCATAATCAGAAAGATTTAAATAATTATCCGAATTATTATCATAAGGATAATTTTTTTTTGTATATTGAATATTGTTTCCTTTACTGTGGAATCTATCAACGTATAAGGGCATAAATGGCAAATTTACTGCCAGGTTCGGTTGATTAAAAAAACTTAATTTGAGTTTATCAGAGTTGTTTCTATATTCGGATGCATCATCTATTTGTTTGTTAATATAATTAATGGGTTGAGAAAATGAAAATTTAAAATCTTTAATTTTTGTTTCTAAGGAATCATTGCACATCTTATTTTCTTTAACTAATTGGTCAGTATTGATTTTATTTTTGCTGGTAGTAGTATTAACAAAGGAATTTTGTTTTCCGATTAAATTATATTCATTTATATCGTAATCATTCTTGATTTTATTTTGAACTTGTTTGTAAAATTTTGCGCTGGATAAATTTTTATCAGAATTTTGAATATAACCATTACTGAATACACTTTCAGAAAGTTTTTCCAAATTATTGTTTTGGGAGCCTTTTATTGCTATAATATTGTTGTTTTCATTAATGTTTGCCTTAGAGTTTTCCGTTTTGAATGTGGTTTTATTTATATTAAAAGTTAAATTTTTATGATTAGTCGGGGATGTAAGACCGGTTCCAATAGATGCTTTTAATAAAAATGGAGGTAAGGATCCTAAATTTTTAGGAAACACTGGCTGTCCATCCAATAAATTTGAATTATTCAAGGTTTTCTCACCTTGATTAGTTGATATTTTTTTGAGGTAATCAATTTCATTTAGAGATTTTGCCTCCGTATATTGAGGTTTAGAGTTAGATTGATTTTTATATACCTCATTTAACAAATCTTGAAATTTATTCCTCATTTTTGCAACTTTTCCTCTACTATCATTAGAATTCTGGGTACTGCTATAATTTTGATTCAATTCTATAATATAATCTCTGTCACTCCCTGTTAACGTTTTGAGTTGGAGCATTTTAATATTAATTTTTTTTTATAAGGAATCAATTTTCCTGCTGCAATCCTAGTTAAAAAAAAGATTGCGCTCTTTAATTAACCTACTTTTATTAAATCACACATTTAATAAGTTTAATAAATCTACAATATTTTATTTAAAGGTATTTCAGTTATTTTTGAAAATAAAAATTAATTAATTATTATTGTTATAAAGATTAACTATTAAATAATATTGAAGAAAAAATCCATCATAATTCATAATATAGAGAGACCGGAAAATATTTCTATTTTTTATAATATTTATTGATATTCATAAATTATCATTGTAATATCTTTAATTCTATTAATATTTATTTGAGTTGATTTCTGAAAGAAAATAGGGATATGATGAGAAGAAATTACATTGATATTAATTTAATTAATCAGTGTTATATATGTAAATAATTTTAAGTTTAAACTACTGAAATGAAATGGTGAACATAAGTTTATTATTAAAATATTACGTATTAACTAAGATACTAGCATAAGTTTTAATATATAAACTTTGCCTTTAAAAGAAAACAATTTTAATATCATTTTATTGTTAATATTTTTTTAAAATAGCTTTTATTTAATTCATAATTTTCACATGTTCACATTTTTTTACATAAATAATAGGAATTCGCGACGATCCCATGAAAGGAATAAAACATAATGAAATTGTTTATAAACTTTTATTATACAAAATAGGCATAAATTACATATTATTGTATATCTTTTTTAGTGTATTTTATATAAAACATTAGCAGATAGGTTGATTGCTTTTTCTCCTTCCCTCCTCTTCTCCATCTATTTCGCGATTACATATAAATGAATGGAATGGAACCATGATCAGTGTAAATATTTTTTTAAACGAAAAAATACTATAATATTATTTCAATACAAATTTTACAAAGAAAATGTTTGTCAATGTCCCTTCCCTTTGAAAAATAATTTAATATTTTTTATATTATGTAATGCAATTATAAACACTGGCCTCATCATGACTTTATAATTAACAGGGTTTCGAACCGAACCGAACCGAACCGAACCGCCAAACCGGAATGAACCGTTATAATTTTCTGAACCGTAACCGTAACCGAACCGTTATAAAGAAACTATAAAAAGAGCGAACCGAACCGTTATAAATATTTTAAACCGGTTCAAAACGGTTTTAAAAAATAATTAAATTTAAACATTATTAACCTAAAATTGAAATTTGAATTTTCCTTGGGGAAATTTTTAAACTCTTTATTTCTTTTCAAATTGAATTTTTTTTACATGTCAATTAATACCACCTTGTTTATTGTTTTTTCTTTTCACTTTAATAAATACTCAATTTAATAGAGATTAGGCGAATTACCAGTTAATTAGATAAGAATCTTAAAATCAAACAAGACTATTCTTTAAATTAACAAGTTTATTCTTATATATATATGTATATTAGTTATTAATTAGTTTATTAATACTTGCTAATAATTTGGGAAAAATCATAATTCTAACTAACATCTAAAGAAAATCAGGTACTGATTACTTTTAATAAAATACTGTTTTATATTAATTTCTTATTAATTAATATTTTCATAATGAATAATTTATAATGACTTAAATGAATATTAGAATTCTGAAATTAAAAAAAACATATGATTGTTAATTAATATTCCTGTATTTTATGGTTAATTTATTTATTTATTTCCATTTACACTTTAGTGGATAATTTCTTGAAATAATAACTACTTACTGATTAACCTTCTAAATCTTATAGTACCAAATAAAATTTAAACACATGAAATTCAATTGGATAATTATAAAATGATAAAGTATCCATTAAAGTTTTAATTTAATTAACTTTAATTTTTTAATAAAAGACAGTTGTTTTGGAATTTTAAACAGCTTTTCTATTTCTTTTCTTCTTATTTTATATCTTATCTTTTTGCTTCTTTCTTTTCTCTATTAAATCAAATTATTTATTAAAATGGTATTAGTAAGCTCCATTCACTTATTTAGTTTCATCTGTGTACAAGGAATGTTGTTAGTATCTTTGAGGAAAAAATCGGCATAATTATATGAAGGGTAGGCCTGCATATAATTCACGTTTTTGGGGGAGATCTTGTCAGATAAGATAAATAAAAAATTATACTGATTCTATTAAGAAATTTATTTATTCTATTTTTATAATAAAAGATTCTGATCTATTCATCATCATATAGCATATTAGTATCTATTAAATGGTTTGGGAAAAGTCAAATCCTGTGCGATCATATTTTAAATTAGATATTGTAAAAAATCAATCTACTTGTAAACTAGAAAACTGTGGTAAAGTTTTAACCGGGGACCATGCAGCAAATCTTGAACAACATATAGAAAGATTCCACGATAAGGAATTCAAATTATTAAAAAAAAAAAAGATAATTTGACTATTAAAAAAACAATAACAAAAAATGCAAATAATCATAATACAATTCAAAATGCTTTTACCAAAACTAATACAATACAAATTAATATTAATAAAGACACTTTAATCTGCTCCTGCACTGAGTTAATCACAGTTCATGGGAGACCAATAAAATCAATTGATGACAAAGCCTTTAGAAATATTATAGATCCGATAATTGTAGGATTGGGTGGTAATTTAACCATCAATTCTGAAAATATACCCAATAATATTAAAAAAATGGCATTTGATTTTTCGCAAAATTTAAAAAAAGAAATATACCAAAAACTTATATCGTTAAAATTAGATATTGCAACTCGATATGATAGGTCCATACTGGGGATCAATATTCAATTTATAGATAATGGAGAAATAAAATTAAGAACGTTATGCATGAAAGAGATAAAAGAAAGACATACATCAGAATATCTAAAAAAAATTATTCTAGATGTTCTAAACGAACATGAAATAAGAATTGATCAAATTTATACGATAAACACAGACAATGCAGCTAACATGATTAAATTAATCAAGCTGTTAATACATCATGATGAAGAAGATGATGAAGATGATATCCTTAATGATTATTTAGATAATGATAATTTAAATAACAATGATGATATAATTGTTAATGAAAATGAAGAACCTTTTTTTAATAATGAAAGTATTAATCTTGTACCTCATACGAGATCCATGTTAATGGGCATTAGATGTGCCTCCCACACATTTCAATTAGCAATTAATGATTGCATAAAAAATTCAAATGAAATTGTTATTATTAATAAAGCAAGAAACATTTGCAAAAAAATAAGAAATCAGACTACAATGTCTATTTTGTCCAAATTAAATTTAAAAAAGCCACTAATAGATTGTTGCACAAGATGGAATTCAATCTATTTAATGTTGGAAAGATTATTAGAGTTAAAAAACTTTTGCCAAGAAATATCGGCCCAAAGTAATGATCGTGAAAAATGTTTGTCAGAGAATGAATGGAAAATAATTAGTGATATATTAAAAGCTTTATATCCATCTTATATTTTGACAAAATATATACAAAGTGAACAAATGACCATGGGCGATTTTTATGCAGCATGGATCAAATGTATCATGCAAACTAGCAAAATAGACACTTCATTTGCCAAACTTTTACTTTGTACAATCAAAGCACGAGCGATTAATTTGAAAAATGAAGTTTTTTGCTCAGCTATATATCTCGACCCAAGATATAATGTATTTTGATCATTTGAAGAAAAAGATATCGCCAAAAAACATCTTTATAAAACTTGGAACTTAATCCAAAAAATAATCATAATATTGAAAATCTAGATACTATTCCTACGTGTTCACATTCGAAAGATAACTTAGATGATGATTTTGAAGATTTATTAATGTCGCATGAAAGCCTTAATAAGAATTGTTCTCAGGGCATAGAAAATTATAATAAATGTGTAGAAATAGAGTATATAATTCGGTCATTTGATAATATAGAGAGATTAGAAAAAGATGCAAATCTTTTGAATTATTGGGAAAATGTAAAGAATAGTATGCCAGAACTTTATAAGTTAGCTATGGTTGTGCTAGCAGTTCCAGCTACGCAGGTATCCGTAGAAAGAGCATTTTCTAGCCTTAAGTTTATACTCTCTGCGCAAAGAACTAAATTAAATCCTGAAATATTAGAAAATATTTTAGTTATCCGTTCCAATTCTCTTTTTAAAAATAAATAATATAAATTTCATTATATTTATGTGTTATTTTATTCCTCATTGTATTTGCGCATGTTTGTGTTTATCTTATTTATGAAATAAAAAGAATTGATTTGTCTAATTTATATTTACTAAGTTTAATAAAAATATCTATTAGATTATCATTCATGGTTAAATTAAATAAGAAATTATAAAAAGATTTTTCTCTAAAATTAATATATACATGGTTAATGATTAATTTTTTTTTAAATTAAATTTATAAAAACCGGAACAAACCGAAAAGAACCGTTATAAATTATAAACCGAACCGAACCGATATGATTATTTTTTTAAAAAACCGAAATGGAACAAAACCTTTATAAAATTTTAAACTAAAAACCGGAACGAACCGAACCGTTATACTAAACGGTTCGAAACCCTGATAATTAATATTGAATAATATGACATTTTTTTTCAGATAAAATAAATTTAACAAAATATCTTTTTTTTATTTTTAACATCAAGTTTTATTAATTATAATCCTTCACAAACCAATGAAAATATTTTAAAAAGAAACACGAATTGCAGCAATAAATAATATTATAAGTTTTATTATAACACCGAGATTTGAATAGATAGTAAAATTTTAAAATAAGATGTGTAAGCCAAATCAATTTGAAAGATATTTTTACATAACATTTTAATAAATTTATAACTATTTTACTAAGGACTAATTGATGAAAAGGCTATGGGAGTGAAATAATAAAAATCATAATATTTCATAATTTATAATTTCTGATATATATTTTGATCGGAGGAAACTACGAAACACAGGTGAAATTCAAAATAAGATACTTTCGGCAAAACCATGAGATATTAGTAAAA